CAAACATGAAATTGATGCATCAACGTTTGTGTCAAAAAATAGCCATGTCGTAGTTCCAGTAGAATTGACTCTCTTTCCTAAGTTCTTTCAAAGAAAATTGTTTGGCAGATATGGACACAGATTTGAAATAGTTCTTAAGCTGCATCTAGCAGTATATATGACTTTTTGAGCCGCCACATCGACTAATCCTCCCCTTGTGTAAATAACATTAAGTGACAGAAACAATAACCCCATATGATCTTCAGCTAAAATTTCTTTACATTGTTGACATTATCGAACGCACGTTGGTAATTGTAAAGCTAATCTACTCAGTAACATTTTGGGCATAGATGCCTTAGCTCAGGTTTGTGAACATTCAAATGAATGCACACTTTCCACTTCAATCTTTTTGACTTGCACCCACAAGATCTCCTTCCGCAAATCCTGCAATGATTCTAAACACTGGGCGAATTTCATTTTGGAAATCCTTGTACTGATCCATGATCGAGTCGACGAGCGCCTCCTCGAAGGGGCACTTGGGCGCGAGTCCTAAAAGAATGAGCGCATTATTCAGATTAAAACCTACATGAGAACAAGAAATTGCTACTAACCAAACTTTTTTGCAAGAAATCGAGCAATAGCAAAAGATTGCGCAAGCTTTTGACCGTCGATCTCAAGCACCGGCATTTGGCCAAACGGCATCTCTAAAGACTAACAATAGATAACTCCTTTTAGGTAACTTTGATTATGGACCTTGCTTGTGTTGCGGCCATTCATCAAAGGTGTAGCGAATGTCCTCAAATTTCTCGTTGGCAAGAACAAATATCTAAGGAATCAAAGCTTTGTTGAATAAGGGATCATTCCAACAAACCTAGTAAGCATTCGCACCTGACGAATAACCTCCGCCGTTCCACGGGCATTGAAGTACATGAGTTTGTATGGCATTCTGAAATTTTTGAATTTGAATTTAAGTTGCGGAACATGAAAAATTTGTTTTGGCGAAATAAAATGATATGATTTGCTATTTGATTAAAAGTGGTTGTAAGTGCAAATTTTAATATTAGAAATTGTCGAAACTCTAAGAAATTTCCAGAAATCGTTGTATTTGAAACTGTAAAAGCTGGTTATTTGCAAACCGAATAGAGAGGGTGTTTGTTTGTGTATGTATCAATCAAATAATCTCCAGTTTGCACTCTTGAATCACTGCCATACCAATAATTTTCAAGAAACAGAACTGTTTGTAAGATAATTTGGTGGCTGCCAGACCAAATGGAGAACGAATCTTCGGGAATTTTTGCTGCGAACACCGCTTTTACCTAATGTTATCAGCTTAGCTCGCAAGGACATCGCGTAAACATCAGCAAAAATGGATTTCGAGGATCGACTTAAAACAAAAGACAACGGGGGTCAGGTGCATGCATCACTGAGGAAGGTAGCGCAAAGTATGACCAGAACTGAGTTGGCAACTTGATTCAGCCAAAGAGTTGAGGAGATGAATAATTGCGGAAGGATGAATGTATTGTTGAAAATATGGTGCGAATTCGCCATAAGAGAAGTGATGCGCGCTGGTCAGCAGCTGAGGGCCTTAGTTTATAACTAGTTTACAGTTTAGTTTATAGTTTATAACTCAGTTTATAACTATTGGCATTACTTAATAAAAAAGTTAATCACGATTCACATGTAGTAGTGATGAGTTTCACTATCCGCTTTGTGGAGAAAAGTTAGATGAAGACATTTCTATATTGCTTAACAAGAAACAATCATAATCTACAATCGCTACACATTAGCACGGCACTCTTTATCAGAATCTGCAGTACAGTACATCTGTAATCTACAGGGAGAAACCGCTACCAATCTGATCCTTTCATTGAATCAGTAATCATGTCGGATAAATCAAAATCGTGTCGCCGCCGTCAATTTCGCAGAGTGAATCGCTTAGGCGATAGTAAATAAGTGCTAGTAGAATGAAAGTCGAATTTTCCAAGCTACAAGTTGAGCAAATTATTACGTGCAATGGCGCTTCAATTTGATTAAGTTTGATGCTGGTAATTACATTTGATATGCTCTA